TACTTTATATCACCTTTTGAAAGACTGCTAGAGTCGTCTGGGTGGGTAATTACCCCCTTTACCCCCCCGTAGTAGCGCCAGTGACAAAACAACAAAGCAGAGGAGGCCATTTGATTAATGTGCAACACTTTGGCAAGCTTGTCAATTATGTAGCATCTATACAGAGTGTCCCATTTTAGTCTCTCCACGTAAGTATTTCGAAAACTACACATCCTGAAAAAAAAAAGATTCAAACAAAGGTTGTATGTAGAGTTTCAAGGTGGCAAAATAATGGCGAGCTTCACAATGACTTTGACCGTGACATTCAAGGTTATTTCAAGATCAAGCAAATATTTTCAAATAGAACATTGAAAAGGAGAAGAAGCTTTACGTCCGAATATGACCTTGACCATGACGATAATTATGACCTTCAATGCCATTTTAAGCTCAAGTACAATCTCCTCTAGCAAAAATATTCGGCAGCTCAGGTGAGCTCTGTGGAGGTCACCCAACGGTGACCTTTATCATGACCTTAGGGGTCATATCAAATTAATAACGACATGACATTGAGGCCTTGGTCACACTTGACCTTGAATGTCATGGTAAAGCTCACCTTTGGGCGACCAACACAATCCTCACAACTGTGCTGTCGCATATTTTTGCAATAGCAAATTGATTTTAATGTCTTTACTTGAGCTTGATGTGGCCCTGAAGGACATGGTTTTGGTCATACTTGGACGTAATATTTCCACCTCTATCCAGTTTCACTGTAAAGAAGATGATTCTATTTGAAATATTCGCTTGGCCTTACAATGACCTTGAAGGTCCTCATTAAGTTCATGGTCAAGGTTACTATCATTTTGCCTCCTCGACTCTACAGCTTTAGTTTGAAACTTTTAGGTGGGGGACCAAATTGACATTTTAATGGGATTAAGCATCTGGAACCAACTTAAGCACGTTAAAAAATACTTTTTGGGCCATTTGTAAGATTCGTATAAACAGTTGTCCTACTATATCCGTAAATGGATGCAAAATATTACTTTATAGTGAATTGACAACGCATGGTCAATCCTCCTCGTCTATGGCATGCTGTGTAATCCTATAACCACAAAACTTCTTGATATGTGAGCGCTTGTACCTATGTATACAGTCAAGGTTCCTGAACCAGATTCACAAGTGCATTGCTGCTACTACGTTCTTTATTGAGATATCAGGGTCATGATCCAGTGAAAATTGTATTTCTTATACATGAAGAATCAAACTAAGGCGGGATTTATGATCCCACTTCAGATTTAATTTTTGTTTTGTTTGCATGTCCTTCCAATTGTTAATATTCAAATTACGTTTTTCTTTTGTCGTCGATGGTTTGCGTACAGCTGGAACTACTCCTACACAGAATTCGGTGTCGCAATATCGTTGTTGAATTAAATACAATTGAAGTACATTAAACACATACTGAATATAAATCCAATGTAAATAAAACAGTTCATAATAAAGATAAAAAATGTCAAGTACTTCGTTAAACTTATAATACAAATTGTTGAGGAGCTTCATATTTAGTTCAAGGTGTGGTGTTACTTTTTCATTTTTTATGATATAATACTTCTAAAAATAGATGAAATGATATGGAATGTTATCTTTGCTATCACAGAATAATCACATTACATATCTGTAACAAACTAAATTTTTATTTCTGCATTTTTGATATCAAGAAATATTGTTATTATGAGAGCTCAAAGATATCTATATGCCATCGCTTTTTTTCTAGCAGATAATTCGTGCAGCTTCGGAGTTTTCTCATCATATGTGCACTACCACTACAAAATAGAGACAGGCTGAACTGAACTTGTTTGCTTTCCATCTCTGTAACATCCTTTCATGTTTATTAGCAATCATCAGTACGGCATAGGTCCTATCGTAGGACAGACGGAAAGCAAACTAGCGAATACGTTCTAATGAAGGGCGCAGTATGCTGTGCGCCAACAAAGACAAACGCACCTAAAAATGATTCGCTAAAGCTTAATACATAGTCCCATACACTGAGAATGACAGAAGGCCCCTACGCGTCTGGCCTACACTGAAAGACAGTCCAGACCTACTTGTTTGCTTTCCGTTTGTCTGCCTCCAACGACTAGACCGTACTGATGCTTGTTTGTAAACACAAAACAGAGTCGGACAGCAAACATATTTACTTTCCCAAGTATTTAAGATATTCAACTTCAATCTCCTCTGTCTGTCCAGTACATAAAAAAAAAATCCATATACAAACTGTTATTATTTTTCTCTATACATAGCCAAAGTATTCAAAGCAAGCTTTTAGCTGCTCTCAATTTGTTCGATTGTATGATTAATTTGTATGTTGACATTTTTCTAATTGCAAAATGACTTGGACCTAATATGGTGAAATGCTTGGTTCTTTACGTTTGTACACATGTGCTTGTTCCATATAAAGGTGTCAGCTGCTTTTTTATTTCACGGTGTATACAAGGAGATACGACTAAAACTTGAAATGAACTATGTCGATTGCTTCAATTTACATGTGCTTTGTTGTCTGTTCTTTTGTTTTCATATCAAAAATTGTGAGCACATTAAATATCTTGTGAGAGATACATTTGCTGCTATAGATGTTTTGAATTACTGCTGAAACCGTTAAAGCGAGTGGGGTATTTTCCAAAAATCTCTTGCGATGGAATATCAATATTTTGGCCACAAAAAGTGTATGGGGCCCTTTTCAACTTCCTACAACGGAATTTTTCCTACAAAGTTCAAACGTAAAATTTGGCGACAAAGCTATGACATAATAAGCTCTTGGATTATGTAATAAGTTTTGATTCATTTATCTTTATCTTTATTAACCACTTAGATACAGAATAGTACATGTGGTGAAAAAAAATTAAATAAATAAGCTATATAATATAAATAAAATTTATAAAAGTATAAGTAAAATCAATAATAAATATAACAATCCATATAAGTGTTCAATTCCATCTTTTTATATAATATATATATATATATAATAATTTTTTAACTTGGTTTTTAAATCGAAAATAACTACTAATTGGCTGTATTTCAGCTGGTAATTTATTGTATAATTTGATGCGGTTATACGTATACTAGGGTGATTGTTTGAAATGTGTCGTGGTATGAGCCTGGGTGATCTTTAAATTTTGATTTCTAGTATTATAATGATGATGAGCATTAATATTTGGGAACAGGTTATTAAACTTCTTAACGTAAGTTAAACATTTCAAAATGTAAATACGATAATTAAAATGATGATTCTTTTTTGGGCAACAAATACTCTATTAATTGTTGACATGAAAAGTATAGTCACATCCTAATCGCATCCAGAATATATATATATATATAAATACTTATTAGATGATTCCTTCGGAAGTAAATGATGAAGATTTTTAGAAACCACGAATACCACATACGTGAAACTCAACGAGAATGTATAATCCATTGAGTTCGTACAAGCCAAAGGACAACGTTAACGTTTACGTATACTCTATTTGTGGTTGCTTAGTCTCTTGTACCATCCTTTTTGGATAAATGCAACCAAAATGTCCAATTTTTGAATAACATCTGATAAATCCTTGCTAGAACGTCCTTACTCGGTAATCCTAACAGGCACCAAATTCTTCTATTATGACACTTATCTTGCTATATACAGAAATAATAATTGCACCTCGAAAATATTTTTGTAGCAGACATTTCAGGAATGAGAGTAATAGGTCTGCTTATGTAATCCACGTAAACGTAAATATAGAAAATCGAAGGGCATGGAAATGACACTAACAAGAATAATAAACAAGTACGTTTGTACAGCGTTTCGAAGATAAGTGTCATATTATTCGATGTCTAAGTGTTTGTGTACTTATAAAATATATCACTATTAGGGAAGCCATCATTGTACGTGAAACAAAAGGAATTTATTAGCACGATTTGTTTCTCAAACAGCCTCAATTTATAATAATATTATGTATAATAATATTCGCAAAGGATAGATCGCATGAGCAATTTCAAGACAGACTGCAAACAGTGTTTTAAATTACACAAACGAAGAAAAATCTAAACATCGAAAAAACGACTATAGTTATGGTAGATGGTTCAATACAACGTCCTCTTTGCAATATTAAAACACGAACTTTTCATATCTTTACTAAATCTCCTCTAGAAATCGACCACATGCATGGAAAGGAATTTTCAGTACCCATGGTTAGAAAGTCACAATACCGAGAATATTGCATTTGGATCTGCCCCTTGCAGGCCATCCGCGCAAAAAATGATCAACTATTTAAAGTCTGTTCAAGCCATAAACACAAAGCAAACATGAGCTCTCGATCTCTGCTTATTTTCGCTTGTCGCTTCCTGTCCAGACGATCATGGCGCGCTAGCTACTAGGAGCATTCGAATTTGAACGCGACGTGTTGTTTATTGTTTTGACGGGTCATGAATAAGATTAGAATACAGAGAAGTTCTTTAAGGGGAGTTTACACTAGCATGTGGAGCTTGCGTAAGTCTTATTTGCATCCAACCTGCAGAAAAACTTCCAAATGTAAACACTAAAATGCACGAAAGTTCTACTTGCAACGCGGACTTGCATGCATTTGTTGCGTTCTGCAAATACATTCTGTTTTGACAGAGTGTTTGGTCATTTTAATAAGGAATTTTTTTTTTTACGTTTGTCCTTTGGTATAACCTCCTGAAGTTTGGCTGTTTATTTACGAGACATCTTCTAAATAACGAAGACGATCTCTTTTCTCGACAAATTCCTGCAGTGATTCATATATAGCAAGAAGCACAGACATCAGGAAGAAATTTTGAAATAGTGCATTTTGGTACTCGATAAAATTAGTAAATTACTGTATGAAAGCAAAAGAATCTCCTGCAGCCAAAAACCTTAACGTAATTTCTAACTTAATTTTTGCTGGTATGGCTACCCTCATTTTTGTATCGGTTTTCTGTATGCACTCTTTCACATGATCTGACAATTCATCAAATTTGCTTTTTGAAATTCAGAGGACGTTCCTACAGCTATCTTTGTCTTCTCTCGCCAATTCATCGAATAGCCTTGATTTCCTAATTGCGACCTTCTTGATAACCAAATTCTTGCCCAACTTCTTCACCAGCCTGACATTCGTTTTCTCCTCTTTATTTTTGATAGTAACTCGTTTGCTTCTTCAAAAAGCTCATCGCATATAATACTGACTGCAACTCTCACTACAGCTAATATATAATCAGCCATTTTGCACACCAGATGAAGATCTTACTGACTGGACTTTAAGCAAGTTTTCCTTGCGAAGGTAGATGTGTAGTGTAAACCTTTATTTGAATGCAAGTACAGTTTGAATTAACTTGCGTGCCCTACTTACGCAAGCGGTACATGCTAGTGTAAACTCCCCTATAGGTATAATAAGAATAGGCACAGATTTGAAGGTGTTCGAATCGGTGTGTACGGTGCGAGCCAACATAAGCCAACGGAGTCCAAGGTAGCCGTTGGCGTTCAATTGCGTTTGCTCCTTGATGGGCACATCAAAGGGAGGTTTGAGTTGGTCTCGTTGCTCAACATTAGCATCGAACTTAACCCAACGCGGTCCAACTCGAAACTGAATTTAAGTGTAGACGACGTGCAGAGGAGCGCATTCCAATATCTTCCAACGACAAACGCCAATGTCACATGTGCTTTCATTCGCTTGCTCGGCGTTGGATTTTGGAAAGTTTTCTTATCCAGCTATAGCAGCCAGTCAGCTATTTTTCGTAATTTTTGTTATATTGCTCTAGCACTAATAGATATCATTTCTACCAATATTTGAAGAAATTATGAGTTTTGTCGATGAGTGTTATATGCAAATTCAAGAAAAGATATTATCCTAGGCAATAAATAAATGAATATATAAATAGCGTTTATTGCCCAACAGTTAAGGAAACCATTTAAAACACAATCCTAAGATAAATCAAAATAACAACAACAGAAAACATAAAAAGCAGGTTATTTTATCTAAAGAAAAAAAAACTAGCTACTTCCAGAATGCTGTTCAAACTGTCAGCATGCATGTCACAATAATTTGATATTGCATTGAAAGTTTCACACATCACATACGTGGGTGCTTTCAAAAACAAATTTGTGCGAGCCATGTCACAATAAAATGTTTAGCTGTACGAGTTTGAATAGATGGAACATTAAAGTTTATTTGAGCCACAATCCCATTAGCATCAGTAGTTTATGCAAGAACATAATTGATGCACACTTCCTTCTCAGTTCCAAAGACTGCACTTGAAACCTAGACAATAACTTTCAGATGTATCACGTTCAGGATATCAGGCAATCAAGATTTGTGCCTAGGGCGCAAATTCGAATAATCAGGAGGCGTTTTTGAAGTAATTAGTCTAATGAATACGGTCGATTTTTTTATAAAACATTTGTCAAAGTAGAGAAGAATTATACTGTTCGTATAAGATGGACACATACTTCGCATATTGAATTAAACAATAATTCATAAACCACCAGCTACAAAAACCTAGTCGCAAGTTTGACTAATCGAAGAAAGTATCATATCTTCGTAAATAATACAACCAGTCAAGAAACAAACATAAATACCCGAATAGATTGAAAAACGATATTTCGACTGTTAATTCGGTGAAGATTTCAATAATTCTATAATGTACTCTCATTGTAAATATGTTTTTTAATTTCTATAAGTATAATGACCAAAATAAGAAAATGATCCAAATTGAGTAAGCACCAGTAAAATATCGGGATGTTTTTCTATATGAGCATACAGATTATGTTTTGTATCAGCTATTAAATCGTTGATCTTTGTCATTACAGTACAAAATTCTACTTAGTAAATATTATTAAAACATAAATTAGACGGTTTTTTGCAGAAAGGAATAAACCCAGAAAAACAATTATTGAGCAACTAGGCTTTAAAGTTTTGAAAATGATAACAAGTTCATTTCAGACCAAGCACGATTTTAATTAATGGCATACTAAAGGCTGTAAATATGTGTATATTTTTTACAGTAAATGGTATTGCTCGTAATCGTTTATTTTTATAAAATCTACATTTTTCATATTTAGTGAATTTTTCCTTTTTGCAAAAAGTCGTCCAATTAAATGAAAGAAGTTTTATTCTTTCACAAAAATCATATGAATATTCGAAATAATCCTTATTTAAATCTAGGTAGGGCACAAATCCTTCTTTTTGATTGGCCGAGTCTGCGACTATGTCGCAAATGCTGCTTTTTGATTGTTCGAATCTGCGATTAGGTCGTAAATTTTGCGCCCAGGATTAAACGAAAGAAATAGGATTTGTAGATAAGTCATGAAGTATTTCTTGATTCAGTATGAAAATTAGGGGCCCGTCTTACAAACATCGACTATAGTTTTGCGGCTTAAGCGCAAATTTTGCACACCGGATAGTCGGACTTAAATCATAAAATAAAGTTAATAGAAGACAAAATATTTTGACGGAAGATTTTTTTATTATTATATCATCGGATCTAGATATATAACTAGTTCTAAATTTGTTGGAAGACAAGATCTTCTCAAACATGTATATGCAAATGGTAAATGTCATTAGCTACACCCGCGCATTTTTCAGGCCAAACGTAACGTGATCTCATGCGGTCGATGACGCAATTATATTATTTCATATAAAACGAATAAACAACAGCAAGTGCAGGTACATAAATACCAAAGTATACAGAATACGAACGACAATATCACTTCGTGATTAGACCATTTTTTTATATACTTACATATCCAGGCCCGCAAGGTAGCTAGAGGTATCCTAAATATCCCAAGGTTGCTCTTTCAGCAGTAATGAGACCTCACTATTGCGTAAAAATTGCAATCTAAGATTGGTCGCACACAGATGGAGACTTACTATTGTCTTGCAACGTCATGACAGGTTTCACCGTGTCGCAGGCTGAGCATTAACGATCTATTAAATAAAGCGCTTTCCAGAAGCCCATCTACTTATTTTATGAATAGGCTAAGCCCCGGAGCTATAATTCTGGGCGATAAAATTTTAAACGAATGCATGAATACGATATATTAAAATAAACAAAGCACTTAAAAACTTCAAGATGTTGCCGCCCTGGAACATTGTTTAAATATAATGGAGGGTCAAGTGAGTCATTTTGCAGCTCCTCTATAACTGTCATCAAAAATGGCTTAATTGGGTAAGACTAACCGGTTCAAAATTTGTCCCACACAAATTTACTAACAAAAAGACCAAATTTAATAAAAACATGTAAAAATCGAGATATACCCTTCTCCAGCACTACAATTCCAATATCAATTTCAAATCCATACAACAAATTTTCTGAAAATAATCAGGAGCCTCTGAATCATTTAAAAACCAGGATTGACTACTTTTTAGATTTTCATTTTTTAATCATACCTTAGCCGCTAGTAAACTAGTTTTCAAAGACTACAAGGCTTCGTTATCCTTGGTATAGTAGTAACTCTGTGTGAAATCTAAATCTGAATAGTAATATAACTAGTTATAACTTGGAATATATAACCCGTCTGCAGGTTTTGTAGAACAGAATTTTGTGCACCACCACTAACGCTCCATAGTATGCATCCAATGAGACCCTTCGCAGAGACCTTGACATCCCTTACCTAAGGGACTATATCAAACAATAAGCGCAGCTATGTAATAGGCAATCGGAATCGCATCGCAGCCCTATGTTGCGTGAGTCAGTAGACTTCACGGTCATGCAAGTTCGCAAGCACACAAGACTGCGACTCGCGCTGTGAACAAAATTGAATCGTGCGACTTCAGGTCTGACCAAAATTATAAATTTTCTACAACAACCAATCTCGAAATTAATATCTTAGGATCAATTTAAAATTCCCGAATACTAGTTAACAATGCCAAGACACCTATCAAACTGACCCGCTTTCTCCACTTTGCTCTTCCCCCCTGCCTTCCTCTCTTCTTTCCCTCTTTTTCCCTGACTTTATCAGATATCTGGGCAACCAAACCTGACAGATCCACTGACTATCGACACTTTAACCAAGAGCAGAGATCCCTACAGAACAGAGCGACAGACAACGATGAGTAGGAGAGGATGACCGAGAGACCCACGGAAATGAGTGACATTTTCGTGATGTACGAGTACATGTCATATAACATGGAAAAAAGCAATATCTCACTTTCAAATTCTTTTGCCGTTTCAGCACTCCTCACCAGTGGCGTGGGAAATAAAACATTTCCGTTCCTAGGAGATTAGCGGTGATGTTTAGGAACTCCGAAAAATGAATGGGTCTTCTGCGAGTGAGTTCACAGTCCAGAATCTGTATACTTTGCACATGCAGATCCAATAACAATAGACATCATAGTTTGCAGACGAAAACGGAAGTTTAATTATGAGCTTTTGTCCGAAAAACAATTGTGTGCATATGAAAAAAGTGAACAGCGAAATGTTCTGCTTCCTGCATTGTGTCGGAAATAATTTCATGCTGTCGATACTTTGTTATTGATAGGGAATGTTAAGCTCACGACTGTGATTGAAATTAAATTCTAGATTTATCGGTAAATGCCGTAAAACTGATTTTCATCTGAAGGTTAGATGGGATTTTTTACATGCACCAGACAGTAAATACACAGTCTGATAATATACGCTATATTAAAATTATGTGACTGCCGATGACACGAAACGAATTTTATTAATAATGCCATGAAATGAGATACCGTAGCATGATCTATAAAAATATACAGGGTGTCCCAGAAGTCGACGTCAAGCCGAAACCGGGTGATAGGCAAAGTCATAACAGCTATCAGAAAAATATTTAAAAGAATTTTATGTATGTGTTTTGAAAATTATAGATCTTTTCTGATTATTGCGAAAGGAAGAAACATATAGCCGCGACATTTTCTCATAGATGGTGGTGCGGTATGCGGTATCTCGCACATTACCTGGATATCTTTAGATAGCATATGTTAACCGACTATTATAAATTAATATCAAATGTCTATAGCCTAGAAGGGTCATAAAGGCTTAAAGGCCATTTTCAAGGTACAAATCAAACAATTCTTATTCAACATATATGTGGTGTATGTGGTTTCATTTAACGTCCAGCAAAACGGAGTTTCCAATGACGTCCATGTGCATTGTCTTTTAGATACCTTAAGATTTCCGTTTACGCATAATTTCACATCGCA